CTGGTCATATTGTTAAGAAGAGCAGATCTGAGAAGGGGACCATTTCTTCTCTCCCATGCTCATGAGAGAAAACTGGGGCAGGGTCACTGGAATAATGGCATGGTGTTTACCCCCTCAGATGAACCATTCCAACCCCAGTTTTAGAAACAGCCCTGAGCGCACCACAGTGGTGGGAGCCCCGTGTCTGTGTGGCTGGCTCTCAACACATGGCAAAGAGCCCAGCAATGGCTGAATCTTTGGGAAAGTCTTAATGATAAAGAGTCTCCTCAAAAAATAACTGAAGAGATGAGAAGCCTTATTGGTACCAGCAACCACCGTGAAAGACAGATTTGTGTTCGATGGCTATGAGCATGAGGTTCATCTTCACGAAGCAGAGCCTAGGAAGAAAGACAAGAAGAAGGTGTGAGAAGAGAGGAAGAAGCAGAGAGCTAGTTCACCAGAATGTGGCCATGCCAGGGAGAATACCAGAGTGTGGAGGAGGGAGAAGGAACTCTCAAATAAGGAATCTTCACTTGCACGTGAATCTACCTGAAAAAACTGCCAGCCAGTGTGCCAATGGGGCCGGGGAAGAAGCTGCACCACAAAGACTCTGAGCTACTCACTATTTTATCTTCAGTGTTTATAATGGAGTCCACTCGATGGTGAGCCCTTGATGACCAGTGTGGAATGAAAGAACAAGGACAGAATTTCCCATCAACTTACCGGGAAACTTCAGGAAAACTCATTCCAGCAAAATCATCAGAGAGATGTTGAGTTAGAACTTTGTTCTTCAGACCATTCAAGAAATGTTTCTCCCAGGGCTGTTTAGGAATGATCTGGAATACAGAATCACGCCACACATAGCATGTTCGTGTGGATACAGGATGCTCTCAATGAAGTTCTACATTATGTGAAGTGGCAAATTAGTCTCCTTGCCAGTTCAAGCAGGAGCCAAATCTCATTTCTTGGGGGACCACTTGCTGTACGTAAGTTCTTTTTTCTATACCTGGTCTTGACATCAGGTTAGAGTCAAGATTCAGAATCAGTTTACAAGGTTACCTTTTTGTCTTGCTCAATAAATAGAGATGTTAGAAAGGTGCACAAGCCTGGCACCAAGCAGCCTTGGGCAATGAATCCCAGCTTTAATTCAGCAAAGCAGATGATATTGTCTCCAGTACTCCAGTTCCAGCTGGGAATCTTTGGCAAGTAGACCTGTTTTGTGGGAGAAAGTAGGTCAACCACTCAGCGTACACATACCTTAAGAAAGCTCGTTTAGATGGGGGTATTTTTCTTTCATTTAATTTACTTGAAATCACTTATATTTTACTGTTGGGCACAAAACTGGTACCCAGAACAATGGAGGTGATAAGAACAAATGCAACATTTGAAAGTGATTAGTGGCCAACCTTTCCAATTAAAAAAATAAAAGTATAAAAAGCTGGAGTTGAAAAATCAGGTCAGATGGCTTAGACCACTAATTCTGCCTCCAATTTATACTCCAAGTGATGAACAATCTTAATGAGACTCCAAATTTCATCTGCAATTGGCAAAAACTTTTCATTTGTAGACTCATTACATAGTAATAAGGTTTACAGCATTTTATAGACTAAAAAAGGAAGAGTCTGAAAATTTTAATATGTTATAATACCTTGTTATGGGATTGAAGTATTTGTATGATGACTCTGGTCTTGGGGTAATAGTTCTTGATGCAGAGTACCCTTCAAAAATTGCAAATGCACTCGTTAGCAATGCACATGAAGCCAAGTCTCTTTGTAATATAATTCAATTCCAAGTTAAATTGGTGTGTGGGTAATATAAGGAAACTTAACATATTCTACAGTTTATTCCTATGCTGTTTTCTAAAAATATG